AGTTGGGCTGTTTTCCAACAAATCTTCATAAAAACAAGCTGTAGGTCAGATTTGACCAGGAGTCAGAGGATGCCAATCCTTGGTCTAGTTTTTCCTTAGTCCTGATAGTGCAGGTGGCTCAGAGAAATGGAAGCAGCCTCTCTCCTCTTACTTTGTGACATGTCTTTCAGCACCAGGAAAATCTTCTTCCCAAGAGAAGGTTATCAAGAGACAAGGCTGACAGGAACCCTGGAGCTATTTCTCTTGTCCCTTCCCCTATGAAATCTAAGGAGGGTAACCTGTTAACTGATGACAGGAACCTTGTCTCCGATTTATCTGCCTCTGCCCAGGCAGACAGCAAATAGATGACTCATTCAGGAGCAATTCTGTATTTATTGAGACTTACTGGGTGCCAGGCAGGTTTGTTGTGAAAATGGTGTGTTGTAGTCTCTTAATAAATAAAAATTCTCTCTCATTCCAAATTCTTTCATATTCTCCTCATCAAAGCCTGATAAGGTTTCACTTGTCCCTTAAGTGGCTACTGGCATGATAAGGAATCCTTTATTTGCATCCTTTGCAACTGATTTTTTAACATTGTTGTCTTCATGATTAAGACTCTAAATATCACCAGAGGGTTAGTGATTTCCTGACAGACAAGGGGTAGCTAGAACGATAAGGAACTGTTTCTCTAATGACTCATCCCCAGGTTTGTCACCCTCTAGAGGCTCAATGGTGTCTGTCAGCATGAAGGAGTAGGTCCCAGAGGTGAGCCAGCCAAGACATAACCCTTATCCGATTCGGATACTGTGGACAAGTGATCACTCTAAGCAATTCCCCACCTAAGCTGGTTTCATGTCATTAAAAGCCTTAGCACTCCCAAGGAGAAAATAATAGCAGTTATCCAGGGTCACCCTCCATAACAACCTCCTCGACTTTTGCAGCAATTAAGGCATTGCTCCACTACCAAACACTCCCTGAAAATGGAACCGAGTCACCAAAGAGCAACTGAAAGTTCGAAGTGTGACTTCCCATCAATCGCTAAAGAAGCTTCCAAGAGAAGCCCCTCGGTGGGCATCTCCTCACTTTTGCCAGGCTGCCCATACTGCATGGCAGCAGACTCTGTTTGGGATTTGGAGAGGCTGTTCCTCCCTGTATACTAGGCCCATAATTCCCTCCTTGCTGGATTTGTTCTTTAGTTTCTGGATTCAAGTCGCCATCTTCACTTACGGCACAGCCATCTCCAGCCTGGTCTGCTCTGGACTCAGGGACTCACAAGATTACTGAAGTCATAGTCTGGGAGCAGGGACATAGGAGTAGGGAAGAGGACAGATTTCAGACAAGCATTTAGGTCCAATAGTCATCCAAATAGGCACACAAAGAAGGAAGATTTGAGAGTGAATCTGAGCTTTTCTTCCAGGAAAAAATATGCAGCACACTTCATTGTCTGACAATACTATAAACTCACTTTTATGACACTAGTTATAAAAACCTTAACATTTGTCTAGTGCTGGCAGTCATTTTTTTTTTTCTTAGAGATCCAAATGCAAGAGAGAGATTTGTGATCCCATAGCCAGCTTGGAGTTCATAAAATGAATGTATCATAAAAATAATCCATCCTATGTACTAAAAAAGATTAGATTAGATACCATGAAGTGATAGGCATTGATAAGAAATCCTTTGTTTGCATCCTTTGCTACTGGTTTTTTAATATTGTTGTATTCATGAGTAAGACTCTAAAAATCACCAGAGGGTGAGTGGTTTCCTAACTGCCTCCGATGGACAAGGGGTAGCTGGAACGATGCAGAGGTGTTTCTCTAATGATGCATCTCCAGGTTTATCACCCTCCAGAGGGCTCCATGGTGTGTGTTGGCCTTTCTGAGCCATCAGCAGACAATGCAGTCTGCAAAGAGGGAAGGGGTCAGTACCTGTGAGAAGCCAAGCACTGCCTTGCTTGGTCTGGACTTACGCACTTTTGGAAGAGTAGGGAAGTGAGCAGAATGAGGTTAATGACAAACTTTGCTTCAGGATACCCGCACATTTCTCCAGGAATGGCTCTCTTTTTGAATTAACTCCTTAACTAATTTTCTAAAATCTCCTGCTCATCTAAACCTAACACCAGCGCTGACTTACCAACAATGTCCTTCTTCTCTCCTCCCTGATGCTCTGAGTGTCCCCTCGTAGCAGCCACTGTAGTGAATCTTGTATTTTATCATTGCTTTGGATGTGTGTATGTGTGTATTTTATACCATTTTAAGAGGGTATAATATTCTCTGTTATCTTCTATTAGTTTGCCCATATGAAGTTGCCCTTAATGTTTCATTTTACTCAATTTTATTCTGCTAAGATTCATCCATTTCATTGTAGACAACATCTTTCTTCATATTGTTAATGGTCATTTGGATTCTTTCCAGGGTTTTCGTTCTATAGGAAGTGCGACCGTGGCCTTTCTTGTCTCCAGAAGTGCATGTGGACATTTATTTTGGGTGGATACATTGGAGTGTAATTGCTAGGCCATACGGTATGTGAATGTCCCATTTTATAAGGGAATGCTGAACTCTTCTCCAAAGTAATTGTACTGAGCACACCCCCACCAGCAATTAACCACCTGTTACTCCACATCTTCTTCACCACCTCTCATTTTGTGCCCATCTAATTGCTGCAAAATGATATAATCTTTATGGTCTTGATTTGCATTTCACAGACCACTAATAATTTTGAACATCTCTTTATTTGACTATTGGCCATTTGGGTTGCCTCCTCTGTGGAAGGCCTGTGCAAGTCTCTTGCCATTTTTCTGTTAAGTTGTTTGAGCTTTTCTTATTGATATATTCTTGATAGTAATCTTGAATTAGTTATATGTATTGTAAATATCTCCTCCCTGTGTGTGACTTACTTTTTTATTTTCTTTAAAGTGCCTTGTAATGAATAGAACTTTAACAAAGTCAAAAGTGCTATCTTTTTATCCCCCTAAGAAGTGTTTTTTTTTAGCATTATGTAATGAATCTTCATAATACCCAGTGTGGATGAGTATTGGCTCTCTCTGAGAGTCAAAGAAAGCTGGGAAAGGGAACTCAAAGGCCATTTGGTCCAGGTCTCACATGCACAAAAGGCCTTAAATCAACTTTGTGTTCATTATCTTTAAATGAGGTCACCTACAGACACAAAGATGCACTGTCAGGGATGAAAGAAGACCCTGCAGCTTAAGGCTAGAGCACCATCCTTTGCAGTGCAGTGAGAGCTAAGAGGTTTTAGTAAATCTTGTAAGCATGAGAAATAGCACAGTTACACTGCATTCTATTACTATTGTCGAAGTATCACTTTATTAAATCCAAACATCCAAAATTTAGCATATGCATTTTCAGATCTTTTAAGTCTCTAAGGAGACCTCCAAATGGAAAGGTCTTTCTCAACTCCATGAGTTCCCAGACACAGAGAACGGTGTGCTCCATTTTACAATGTTGGTAACTTAGGAAACTGGAATTCACACCTAAATGTTGCAAGCTCCAGAGCTTAGACACATTCTGCTGTTCAATGTGGCTAAACAGCAAGGAAAAGTCATCCTGAGCATAGGATCCTGTACAAGTCATCCTGTGCATGACCGCCTTCCCAGTGAGCCTTACTCCACACGGCACCACAGCCAGATGCCCCAGCCTGCTACAGGATAGAGGCTGTACTCTGACTAATGCCCATGTGTTTCCAAAGCAAAGGGGGACTCAGGCCTCTCTCTCCAGACCCCCCGGGACACATCCGGGAGGGCCTGGCAGATTGCTAAGGATCATGAAGGGCAGTGTGATGGGCCTTAGTGACCCCAGAGCTTGCCCCAGGCTGTCCTGACAGCCACTGCTCTCCAGGAAGGCTAAGAAGTCACTGGAGTGGCTGGAGGGCAGCACAGGAATGAGAGTGTGTGTGTGTGAGTGGAGTGTGTATGTGTGTGTATGTGTATGACAATGTGTGAGTGCTCCTGTGTGGGTATGCATGAGGAGATTCTACAGAGGTGGAGGGATGGGTCAGGGAGGGAAAGGATGGGAGGAGACACTGGGGCAGCCAGTCTATTCAAAGAGGCAGCAGTGCTGGCCAGGGAGCTGTGCATCTCTCTCGCCCCATTCTCTAATGACCTCAGGACAGCAGCCATCACATGTGGGGGTCACTGGACGGGAGGACCCCACTACCAGCAACAAAATCATAATACCCGCCTTCATCCTGCCACATTCCTCTTCATTGACCTCCAAGGGATCTATAGCTGCACGGTGGATAAATGCCAATTCCCCAGCTTGGAACCCAAGGAGTCATAGTCAGAGCCACTCGATCCTCAGCCATATAAGAGGATAATAACGCTAAATTTGAGTCACTGTGGGAAATTGACTGAAACAAATGAGCAATGTCTAACACTGCTGAAGAGCATCATGGCCTTTCTCCTCCCTTCTTGCCTCTGGCCCTGGTATCTTCCCACTTGTCCTCCCAAGGTTTTGCCCAGTACAGGCTCTGTCTCAGGCTCTCTGCCCTTACCCCCATCTCTGAGGCACACCTCTTCTCAGAGTATGTCCCCAGAGATGAGCCTAGCCCACCTGGTTGATCCTTTCCCTGTGTGCAGACTTCCCCAACCAGACCCCCAGGCCAGCCCACAGTGGGCCCACCCTCTCCCCTACACCCTTCCTTCACTCCTGCACCTCTTGCCTGGTACTCTGCTTCTGCTTTTGCCAAGTGTTCTCACCTAGGTTGCACAGGCCTCTCAGTGCCATCCTCCTATGAGTCCCTGAGGAGAGTGGGCCAAGGGTTGGGCTTAATCTGTCTGCTCCTCCACAGCCAGCACCACTCTGCAAACTTGGAAGGTCCCTAAGGAGCAGCTACTCTGCTTCTGCTGTCCAGAAGGTGCATCCACCTAAAGAACGTGTGCAATGGATTGCCCTGCAGGCGATAGGGCTCCTCAGAGGCAGATGCCCCTGGGGGTGTCTTGCACCTGAGGGATGGCCACCCCATGGCCCTGTCATAGTACATGTGCCCAAGTGCCAGCTCCCGCCTACCTTCCTGATGCCTTCTGAAGGACTGGACACGCAGTTGTCAGCCCCTCCATTCTTGCTAATGGTCCGCCAGAGCTCAGCAAACGTGCTGTCCTGCTCCAGGGGGTTGGTGCCCTTGGCTCGGAAGTACTCATATACGGCAGAATCCCGGACGGTGCCATATGACAGCTCCACTTGTTTGGACAGGTCCTGGAAAGTCCTGAAATGCAGAAAGGCAGTGAGGTGTGCGTACATGCTGTGCATTGCAAACTGCAAGGATACAAATGAGCTGCAAGGCTCTTCTGAAGTCCAAGCCCTGCATGGCCCACTATCCACACTCTCCACTCCCCATGCCCAAAAGTTCAAGTCCCTCAGCCTGGCGTGGAACTTGCAGGGCCTCATTCGATTGCAAGTATGTTTTCTCAGTGTGGATTAATTCAATAAGATCACTGAGCACCTAAAAACAGATTCTTTATTGAACTAGAGGAATAAAATGATGAGTAAGACATGATTCCTGCCTTCAAGTAGCTTACAATCCAACTACAGAAGCAGACACATAGACAGAGAATCACGGTATCAAACAGTCAGGACAACATGAGAGGCTGTATGCTGTGGATCTCCAATTCAGACACCTGCAGAGACTGGGCAGGAATGAGACCTATGTTGGCAAGGTAGACATTAATGATGGCTGGCCCATGACACTCAGAGACAGCATGGGGAAGAAATGTACTGAGAGACCAACTCACTCAGGGTAAATTAAGAGGCCTCCCCTCCAAAGCTTGCAGCTGTGCTAGTGGTCCAGCCAATTATTGGCTTCAAATGCTTCCCTCCCCATGACCTCCCCAACCAATTTGGTTTTTGGAAAAATAAAGAAAATTGAAGTTTTTTTTCTCTCTTCTGATTTTAAAATGTTGGCAATTATTTAAAAGATGACGAAAAAACCAAAGTACTTCTGAGGGACTTGGGTTTGCTGTCCTTAGAGGAGTGGCAGGTGCACATTGGAGAGGGGAGCTCATGAATAACAGCCATCAGCAGCCCAACAGCCAACTCAAGAGCAGAATTCAGAGCTAGGAGCAGAGGAGGAGACTCCTCTGGGGAAGGTTGAATAGTCACAGCAGGAAGGACGAATCGCTATGAAGATTTTGCTTGTGGCAGAAGAGCGTACCAGGCTCAGCATGTTGAGAGATGTCATGTACCAAACAGAATTGCAAAATAAAAAAGCCCAATGGGGAGCCAGCCCCTCTCTCTGGGTTCCAACCTGATCATTCTTTACTTACTTCTCTTCTAGAAATCTCAGTCTCTCCTCTTTATCAACCCACATCATCATCCCTCCCTTTCTCTGAGTCACTGTTTCCACAGGAAGAGCCAGTGTCTCAACTGGATCTATACAACGCTCCATCTTCTGGTCTCATCTCTGGCTGTTCTCCCTACCTGCACACAGCACCATAGCCAACCTTAAAATGAGAAATCCCACACACTCCCCATCCATGGCACCAGGCCACAGTGCTCGCTCTGCCTGGAATATCTCCCTCCTCTAACAACACCTCTATAAACTCCTTGAAAATCCAACAGCCAACAGCTGCCTCTTTCCTTGGGGAGCTGTCCCCACCCCAGCCTCCCTATCCCCTTTCCACACCTTGTGGGCTTCTGTGGCAGCATGAGCTCACCAGGACTTCAGAGAGCCACATGCCAGACCAGAGACAAGCAAGGGCTCTGGAGTCTGACTACCTATCTTGCCTGTCTGCCCTCCACGACCAACACTTTGGTCTAGAAAATTTAGTTAACTTATCTGTGCCTCAGTTTCCAAATTCTTTAAAAATGGAGACAGAAACAGAGCCTGTTGAAGGGGATTGCTATGAGGATTAAATGGGATTTGTGGTCAGCTCTCAGAGCAGTCCCTGATGGTGACTAGCAGTGATTACTCTGGGTCCCCAGTAGACTATAAGAATTCGAAGGATTGGAGCTGAAGGAGCCCCAGTTTCGCATCCACGACTCTGGACCCAGGGCTGACAGCAGCCTCCCCAGCCAGCACACAGAAGTGGATGCTTCCCTCTGCTTTGGAGACACATGCCATAGCATTCCTTATGTCCCTGCTATGTGGCCCAGAAACAGAGCTCAGTATTTGTTTCAATACATTACAGATGAAAGGAAACATAAAATAACAAGTTTGATGAAGAAATCTTTCTAATTATTGTTCATTATTTATATCTAACTGAAGCAAGATGTTCCTTTGCCTGAAGGGCCCCAAGGGTTGTAACTCTGCCATAATTTGCCTGTAATGAAAGGAGGGGGATCTTTTTTCTCCACATTAAAAAAAAAATTTCTCATGGTAATACAAACAAACACGAGGCTTTGATGAATGAGAAACATCAGGGTGAATTACACAGTTGAGTCTAAATACTGAGCTGCTCTAAATTACTGCAGTTTCCATGTGTGTGGAATGAATGGGTAAACTGCCAGGGAGCTCCAAACTCTGTTTCATCCCCACATTTGAAATGGAGATTTTCTCTCTCCTCTTGGTATTATTCATGAAGGTGCCCATGGCCAGAAGCTCAGAGAATGTCTCTGGATAACAAGCAGGCAGCACAAATGTGTATGGCTTCATGTTCATTTCTGTTCCAATTGACCTCACCCTTCCCACCCCAAAATGCCACCCCCATCTGCTTTGCATCTTACTGCTCAGACACATGACCATAGCCTCCATCCATCCATCCATCACCTCTAATAGCCACAAATTGGTGCAGGGAGATCTCTCTCCTTTCAGACATGCATTCAATCTTTCAACAAAGGTTTCCAGGTTCATTAACGCCCAGCACAGTGGGCACTACCATCTTATTCCAGGGTGAATAAACTTATAGAAGGGTATCTGGGGCTTTGAACAGAGGGGCCCAACTGTTCATCCACCAAAGCCATCATCTCCCTGAGAAAGTCATCCTCTTGTCACAGCACACAGTTTTGGAAGGGACACATGGAGAGGAATAAAGGAGAATGGGGACAGCCAGGCATTCAGACTGCCAAACCAATACTGGCAGTCAGCGGAAGACAGATGTTGAAGTCAGATAGGATGCCCATTCAAGTAAGTGAGAGAAGCTTTACCAGGAGGAGGCTGTGCTAGCAGCACACTCAACTTAGAACTTTTCTGAAGTCAGTCTCTTCAGGAACAACTGATACAAAGTGTCCATGTACCCCCACCACAGAGATGAAGGAGATGTACCCATCACAGGTGTGGTGGTGTGGTCTCTATTAACATTACATGCATGATGCAACTCACTGATGTCATTCAACCAGTTATTTCACCACAGTTCCTGAATATCTACTAGGTAAGGCACAGTGCACACCAAGCAAGAAGTATGTGGCAGGCACCATCAAGGGGCGAGTGGTCAGAGAAGTAAAGCAACAGTGACCAAACAATGTGATAGACATTAAAATACAGGTCTGTATGTATGGGGGACCCCAGAAGCACAGAGAAGTAGCTAACCTGTGGGTAGGAGCTAAAGAAATGCTTCCTAGAAGAGAAGAAACATTAAGCTGAATCAGAAAGGATGGGTAGAGGCAGCCAGATGGAGAACCAAGGGGTAGGATGTTCCTGGAAGAGAAGATATTACCTGAGAAGGCATTCAAGTAATGAAAACATGTGGCTCATTTGAGACACATACCAGGGAGCAATTCACATCAGCTAAAAAAACAGGTGATGGAATCTGGAAGTCCTGACTGTGGCTGCCTCTGAATGCCTTCACTGTTTGACAGAGACCAGTAGCTCTCACAGTGTGATTCTCAGAGCTGCAGTGTCAGTAGCACCTGGGGCCTGATGAGAAATGCAAACCCCTGGGCCCCACCCCAGGCGTACTGAGTCAGAAGCTCTGAGGGTGGTGCTCAGCAGTCTGTGTTTCCACAGCCCTCCAGATGATTCTGATGCACACAAGTTCCAGAACCATGGATGGGGCAAGTCATTTAATCTCTGAGGCCTTAGATTTTATAACTCATTCCCAACTCACAGGGTTGGTGAAGATTAGTGGTCACAGGCATACATGGTGCACAGTTAATGTTTAATAAACTTCTAGTAGACCGCCTATCTTCAGTAGTTCCAATGGCTGGAGCATTGGGCCCATGTGAAGGAGCCATGGGTAACAGGCCAGGGAAGTCATACCTGGATGGAAGCAAGCATGGGCAAGCCGCATGTCTAAGCTTCCAGGCTCATGTGATTGGAACCTATCTCCCCATCTGCCCATCTGTCTCTGCAGTAAGACGCCTATGGCCCTTCTTGTTTCCAGCTTGCTGCCAAGGTACCTGCAAATGCTCCCTCATCAGCCCATAATCTGCTGCCTTGTCAACAGCACACGCTTCAGGCACTCAGGACACCTAAAGGGATGACTTGCAGAAGTCCGAACCCAGGATGAGCATAGAGACACCAAAACTCCTCTGGCAGGCAATCTGGACCTTCGCTTTCTGGGTCGTCATAGTAACAGCCTTGCAGAGGCTACCCTGGGAAAGTAATGAGTTCCTAGGCAAGAAACTGCTGAGGAAGAATGGCTTCAACAGCATCAGCCCCAGGCTGCCCACCAAAGTCTACAATGGTTCATGAAATATGGTGCAAGCCTGTGTACCCCTTGAGCCCCACTTCTGTTTGCCTCCTAACTTCTTACTTCAGCTTTTGATAATATTTTGTGTTGGAATTCTCCCCTGACAAAGTCTACCATCTCCTCCAACCTTACATTTAAACCAGTATCTTCTTCTCAAGTGTGTCCTACCAAAACTGGGCTTGGGACCAATGCAAGCTGCTTCTCTGTATCTCCTGACCTGGATTACAGATTTTTGAAATTTCCCCAAGCTGAAAGTGTAGCTGACACCTTTGAGCACGTCAGATTGTCTTCCAAAAAGACTTTGTAAGCACCCCTTTCCTCCGAGAACATTGTCCTCTAATTAAACATGCATCTCCACGAAGACCTACCATGTATCCTTCAGCTGTGGCCAAGAATATTCTCCCCAACTTGATACCACCTCCCTTCCTCCCCACACCTTTCTCTATAAATCAATCTTACTATTTCCTAGATATATGTTCGTTAACAACGAGATAAATTTGTTTGCACTATAAGAAAAATCAATAATATAGAATTTATAAATACATCTTTGCATGTTACAAAAATATTTACATTAGCAATGGAGATAAACACACTTGCAACAAGAGAAGAATCAATCTTCAGTATATGCAAAACAGATTTC